ATTGAACGCTCAGATCGTTCAGATCGCGCTGCTCTAATCGCGCTTGAGGCGCCGCAGAACTTCCCGACGTTGCATGAAGCGCGTCCACCATAGACTTTGTATGTAAACCTGCTGCTCCTGACGCTGAAATCGCGTTCGGTGTAAACGCACCATAAGTCTAAATTAATTGTATTTCTCTGAAGTAATATGGGAGCAAAGAGCCTGCCAAGCCGATGCCACTATCATGATAGTCATGCAAAATCCACCTTTTTTAGCCGCTGAAGGGGGGTGGAATGCCAAGCGCCTCCTTTGGATTTAAAGAGACAGCATCAAAACAAGTTGATCTGAGACACATCTCAGAAAAGGGGTGAAGGGGGCTTCAATAAGGAGGAATTCGGACCAAAGCATTGCAGTTCCACTTTAAATAGATACCAGCTGAATGATTTAAATGTGAAAAGGGAGGATTTAAATGCATATGTCCAATTCAAAAAATTGGGTCATCAATTCAATAAGTTGTATCACTAGAAAATGGATGTATATATTTCATCTGCTAGCATTCTTACTCTTGTAACTTATTGCAAACATTTTTGGATGATTAGAAAAAACAATCAAGAAAGGGGGACCACGGTGCTTCATGAGACCAAAGGAGTCAGGAAATGCTTTATGTCTGGTATCGTAATAAAAAGTACCGTAGGAACTTTTAGACCAAAAAAATGTAGTGGTTTTGACACCATGACGTTTTGACACTGTGACACTGTGATGTACCTTAAAACCGGTTATCAGCCATGGCTAATGTCTGTCACTGAAACTTTCCTGCAGCTTGTGTGTTTAAGAATGGGCTACTCTAAACGGCGATACGATTTGATTTTCTGCTTATGTTCCAGAGTTTATATGAGAATAACCAAAAAGAAAAAAAGAAAAAATCCAGCTGCTACAGTTTAAGCTTGCAAAACCTATTAGTTGAGAGTTTCAGGTATTATAATAGAAAATGTATTTTGAACATGTTTCCCCCAAGATGTGTTTGTGATTGCAACTCGACTCTATATGAAAAGGTTGAAAAATGAATCATTTCCCACCCTGGGTGGATTTATATTTGTCTGGTAATTCAATAAGCCTAAGGGTATACTTGATTTTTCACTAACAGTAAAGTCATCAAGGCGAACAAATCAACCAGGATGGAGGGCTCTGCCTACCAGGAACAATCCATCTCAGTCTGCTTCTGTTTGCTTTGTTTTGTTTTTCTCCACTTGAATAGAATGAAGCAACCCGTGTGTGTTTGTGTGTATTTTTGAGCATGAAAGCAGCCATGTTTTCTTGGTGTGTGGTTTCATTCCTGCTTTGCTCGGCCCAGGCAGACAGGCCTGCTGTAACGCCAAGATGACTGAGCACCACTACACAGCAGTTGCCATGGTTACCAGCCAGGTTCTATGTACACGGATTACTCCTTGCAAATTCAATCTGCAGTAAAGCACTGGTGGAAGAGTGAAAAAAGCTCCACAACAAATCACCTAACCACCCACACACGTGCACACACTCGCATGCATACAGTAGATTGCATACCCACAGCCACACTGCTTTTACAGTATAGTATATGTGGAGAAATACTTGCAAACCGAGAACCCACGGACGTGCATGTTCCACCCACATGATGAGCCAGTCACTCACCTTCACAGAGCACAGAGTACTTGCAGGATCGTGCTGCATGTCATTAGAGAGAGCACCGTAAGGAAACACAGCCCGGTGTGCAGAATTATCACCTGCACCAGAAGTAGCACAGAACCCAATAGGTGAAGCACTGGGGCACCACTAAGCCTAACACCCCCCCCCCTTTTTTTTTTAAACAGCCTGTGCCTCATTTCTCCTTGAAGGTAACAAACAATCTGTTTTTACTTTCAACTTGCCCATCTGTTTCTGCTGGCGTTTTTCGTGCACTCGCACTTTAAATCTCTCTCGCACACTGACAGCCCACAGAGGCATATATATACAGGGCAGATTGGGAGCTGAAGATGAAAGGAAAAAGGGAGTTGTGTCCGTGCCAGTGGAGCTGTGTGAGTGGGAAAGTGATGAAAGAGAAGCTCATTTAGTAAATTGACAGCTCCCTTCAGGATCCCCCCACCACTACCATCTTCTCCTCCCTGAAAGGCCTGAGTCGTTCTCAACTCCAAATTTATTCTCATCAGGCGTGAGGAAAGAGTTACATTCCAGCATGCATTAACAGTGACTCTGTTAGTATTTCACTTGAGGTTTTTTTTTCTCTTCTTCTTACTCCCACAACTGTTTCATTCAGTCCACAGTGGATGTCTGTGCAAAAACAGATCAACTGTGATTACAGTTGAGATGTGAAAAGGAGAGCTTAAACACACAACTAGGAGACAAAAACAAATGTTTATGCATGAACTGTAGGCTACAATAAAATACATCAAAATGACCATTATTATGCACATTAACTGCATCTTTTTTGGAATTCCAACGTAAATGAAATGCACAGACAGCAGTAAAATCCATTTCAATGTTCCTGTTGTGAAAATCAGCTATCAGAATTCCATGAGTTTATGCCACACCATTAATATAATTAAATTGACATAAGGCCTGTGGGCCAAAAGTGGACGGCCACAGCATTTTATGAGCCCACAAGAGCTTAAACGATATGTTAATGTCTTTAAATAAACATACAGTATGATGCTTTCAAGCCAGCATTGACCATAAACTATTTCTCTGATAAAAAAGAAAAAAAACTGTATAGGTCTTCTGGACGGGTTCTTCTCTAATGAAACGTTTCGTCTCTCCTCCAAGAGACTTCTTCAGTCTGAGAGTTTCAGGCAAAATTCAGGCTTTTAAACCCTGCCTCCATGTGACTGATACTCACATCACATGGCTATCATTGACACCTAATTAACACCTATTGTTAACAGGGGGTGGAGTGATACTGGCAATAGCAGCACTGTAGGAGGGGGACAACTGAAAACGGAGGCCTCCACCTCTATTTAATGATGGACGGTCTTTCTTCACAAAAATGGCTTCTTTTACTCCTCTCTCAAACCATCTTTGGGGTGAACCAGCCTTTGCCGTAATGTGTTTTGGGGTTTGAAAGCCACTGGGACATCATGTTTAGAAAATAAACGTCTCAGTTTCTCCGAAACACCCGCAACATACGGAATAACCACTGGTTTGGGTCTGGGTTTGGGGTCTTCATTTTCACCTGAAGGTTGCATGGAATCCTGCAACCTTCAGGTGAAAATGAAGACCGTTACAGGCTGAGTCATTTCTACCTTCTCCTCTCTGTCAACGCTCTCGTTTCATTTAAAAGAGCCACTCGTCAGATATTGTCCAAGATTAACCTTCAGGGTGGATATAGCTCGCTAGCAGCCTCGCACCGAGGACCTATCCACGTCATCATTTACCCAGAAGCCTTTGCATGTAAATAAAATTGCCCCGTCTGTGTAATATATTTTTAACCTTTTAGTTTAAAATTTATAAAAACTGAACATCCTACAGTATTTTTTCAGGCTTTATTTTACAGTTAAAATATGTTTTTATCGAATAAAGTCTAATGTTACAACTAATCGGGGATCCCTTTAAACAAAGATCTTGTGTCCAGATGTGATGAGGATGACTCCCTGCACTCATAGGTTGTGCTAACAGGGGCCCAGGACAGTGGAGCTAAAGGTTGCTGCAGATAGGACCACTACACAGATGGACTCTGCCAGCCAATTTTGAAATCCTGCCAGGTCTGAGCCTCTTTAACAATGACATTAACTTTAGTGCTCAATGTTATCCAAGTCGATTTGTGTAAAACCAGTGTGAAAGCAACATGTGGAAGATTACTGACGTCAGAGCATCAGTTGTAGCTCAGATTGTTCAAAGAAACAAGGTTTTAGATTGCTCATATAGAGACTGAATCAAAAGGTTTCTGTGAATTTCTACTTCTTGAGTTTGGGGTTCTTAAATATTTATGTCCATTGGGTGAAGCAAAACTTACCAAAACTCTGCCAGTGAGCGTCTGAGCAGAGATCATGACCCCAGCCCAGTCTTTGACTGAAGTCATCCATCCCACCTCGCTGGCTGCTGCCTCCTCCTTTTCATCAGGACCCTTTGTCTTGTCTGCTGCCTGGGTGTTGGCAGGATTATTCACCTTCTGGGCCTCCTGAAAGTAAAGCAAGAAAACAACCAACTGAAGGTAAGAAATAAAAGGAAGTAAAAGGGCAGAGCAACGCCTTTGACACTGTTAAGACACATCGGACCTCCTGGCTTCATCTTGTGTCCTCTAATGTTTAATATCATATGCGCTCATGTATAAATCTACATACAAGTGATAACTACTGCAAGAATTATCCCAATGCGTATTAAGCTAGTTGATTTGCACAAATGATTCTTTACATTGATCATTCTTTAGGGTAAAGAGCATATCACTGCTGTCATCACTCGGGCCCTTTAATGCTCCTTCTCCTGTGCATATGAGTGAGCAGAGCTGCATAGCAGTTCGCCAACATGCTTTGCTTGCCACAGTGACGGCGTGCAGCTGCTCCTCTGCAGCCATTCACTCACTCCTTACTTTGACACTAGTTGGCTCTCAGCTTCCCTGTCCTTCTGGCAGAAAAAAAATCTAATTAGTAGATTTCCTTATGTTTAAAGTCACAGAGGCAACACATTTCAGCAAGTAAATATACACATTCAAAGATATCTGCTCATACGCAACAAAAAAATTGCACTATATAGTGTTCTGCAGGGTGTAAGAACAGTGCTGTTGTAGATCAGCCCATGAGAGTCCTCTGTCCATTTCAAGAGGCTTGCCTGATCGAATTGGATTACATTTGATAATGATACGGCATGGACACAGCCATTTTCCTAATTTCATTCCAACCCCATAACAATGCTAATAAACTGGGCCTAAAAAAGTTTGACTTAGTCATCAGATCATTTCCCTGCTGCTGCTGTTGGCTCTCTGTGCTCCAGAAGATAATTCAGTTTCCCCTCCTTTAGACACATTTTAAACGCAATGGTGAACAGAAAGTCCAAAACTTTAAAAGTACATTTAGTGAGAATGGTTTGAAGACTCTAATGTTGTCTGAGTAGGTAAGAAAACCAGAAAGAAATGAAAAACCAGTCATTGTCATTAATCCTGATTCTTAAAAATAAAACATTTGTTGAGTTTGGAAATGTTGCATTTTTGCACCTAAAGAAAAAGTAAATTGCTTTGACTGTTCCATTTAAACTGACACAAATTGGTTCAATTTTACAAGTAGGTTACTGGATAAAATAATAAACACAAACAAACACATTAAGCATTATGAAGAACTATAAACATATTTTAGGGCTCCGTAAAATCCCCCAAAGTTTTGTTTTTGTTGTTCTAAATTCCATGTTTCATGATGCAACCATATTTTCCCCCCAGCAAAAAGTGTCTCATCATATGATGGAATAATAACTGATTATGCTCGGTGTTAAATGTTATTTCTGACTGCAGCGGAGCACTCCTTGTGTGTCTACCCTTCCTCCATGCTGCTCATTTCACACACAGAGAGAAGCAGCAGCAGGAGGTGGAGCAAGACAAGAAGTGAGCAGACTCCTAAAGTGGAACATGGCCAAACATTTTATACTAATAACTATTTTTTGAAGATTGCATTGCTGTTTGTGATCTTTTGAAACAGAAACTGGAACAATTCAATACAATGCACACACTTTCAACTGTGTCTGATTTATCAGTCACTGTTAAGATTGGACTGAAAAAAGTAAATTTCTTTAATTTTGGAAACAAATGCATATAATAGGAAAACAGAGAGATATAGTTTGCATAATGTAAATTATGTTTATATCATTTGATGACCAACCTTACGTTCCTTTTTTCAACTATAGCTAAGCACTGTGAGCAAAATATTTATGTGTAAAATATCTCCTTAGATCTAAGTTGGAGAATAAATTCGGTTTAGTTCCTGTCTCTTCAAGTCCTCCTTCCCAAGCCTGTCTTATCTGCTGTACACAGGGCAGCTGCTCACATTAGAAGCAACAAACTAACCACCTGGTAGCTATTATAGAAACAGGTTACACTGCTTTGTTGACAGAAAAAACATTTTAAAACTGATTACTTGAAATATATTTGATTTGCACAATAACATACATTATATAACTTGCTGCAGGAAAAAAATGAATCCTCTAAGCTCTTTAAAAAATGTTTCTGACTGCTGCATGACTAAGATTCTGCCATCTCCTGAATCCTGAACCACCAACCCCGAGTCCATCATCTTTAAATGTGCATTCAGCAACATCATCAGCATATGTCCCCCCGTAACATGCTGCAGATATTCAGCGTGGTGTGTATGCATGCAGGTCAGCATATACACTGATGGCTAAAGTTTCACTGGCCGGCTGTGTGAGTACATCACAGCACGCGCATGTTGAGTCTATTTAGTTTCTCAACCGAAAGACCCCAACCACCTAATCCTCAAGTTGATCTTGTAAAATAAATCACATCCCAGCTAATTTAGTGCATTTTGAGTACTGCTTTTAAATTTACATTTCAAAAAATTGTGTACAACTGTGCATAACATAAAACTCTAAATTTTATTTAATTTGTATATTTTTTTCTTCTGTTGTATAGAGTTATTTTGTTTTAAATGAAATGAATAAATTTCTTAAAAAAATAAAAACAAAAACAAAAATTCGGACATTTTGAAGGGTGCCAATGCAGCTACTATGGGGCGCCAAGTGTAAAATAAAATGTTAAAAAAATGTCACTAGCACATTTTGAATATTTGGCTCACTTTCTGAGTGTAAAATCCTTTTTTATTAAATGTTAACTTTAAATCTTAAATAATATATGTCAATTTTAAATCCTAAATTTAAATGTATGCAAATGTAAAAGTAAAATGTTAAATGTTTTGGCTAAATGTTGAGGTTTACATTCAGGTATTTCAGAACGCAGATTTGTTGTTGGTGCTCGGCTCTTGTTATGACATCATCATCTTGAGCAGTGGAGCCCAAAGTGGGGCCCGTGGGCCAAACTTGGCCCGCCACGCCATTTGATTTGGCCCACCAACAGTTGCCAAAGTTACAAGGTTTTAACCTGTCATCATGTAGAAACACAGTATTTCTATTGGCCAAATGACTATATAAAGAGCTGAAGGTAGTTTTCATTCATGGTGCTGACTTTATCTTTGATATACAGTATTAGGATTAAACAGGAAACATGAAGTAACAACAAGGGATATTTAGATCAGATTTAACTCCACATGTATATTTGCACACATTATAAGGCCACAAAAACTCATATTTTATCAATTTATGAAATATCCCATGAGCCATTGCTACTTGAGCATAAGGCAGACTTTCTCCAAGTGCACAGACTAAAACAAAAGAGGGCCATTGCACTGGCTGCTAGCTTAATTGGTAGAAATAAGGGACTTTACTTAAAAAGTATTTGTATTTCATGTATTATTTTACTGCATTTGGCCTATAGCTGTGGATAGATTTTTATTTTGGCCCTCTTGGGAAAAATGTTTGGGCACCTCTGATCTTGAGACAATAACAACTGCTAATGCTGCTAAAGTAACATTTCCATACAAGATATCAAACTTGCAGTTCTGGCTTGTGTCTGAGCTGCAAACTGCTGGACCACACATACCGTTCGTATTATTTTCAATAAACACAGTTTTATGTCCTGATGCATCTCAGTAATCCAGGTAGAAAAAATCAAAAAGAAAATATAAGTAGGTCCTCTGGATGGGTTCTTCTTTACTGAAACGTTTCGTCTCTCATCCAAGAGACTTCTTCAGTCTGATGAGTTTCAGGTGAACTCAGCTTTAAAAGCACTGCCTCCACATGCTGGACAAACAGGTTAGTCACATCCAGAGGACCTACTTATTTCTTTCTTTTTGAAATACAGTTTAAATTTAAAATTTACATACCATCTTCACACATCATCATCCTGCCACAAAAGCAACCGCTAATGAAAATGTTAGTGAATTTTTTCAACATTTCATTTTACACTTGGACCCCATAAGCTGCTGCCCTCAATTGTGTAATTATCCAAACTATTTTTTATCTCTATATTTTGATGCATGAACTGTGTAAAAAGTGTAAAGAGAATCATGATCAAAAGAAACATTTAAAGCTTCTGTCAGGATGGTAGTCAAGGTGACCACACACATCTGTGTCTGTCACTCCCTGACTGCCGAAGTCACGAGAAGCTGACAGAAATGCAGACGGATAAGTAAGCTTCAAACAAACAGGGACTGTGAAAAACCAATTGTATAAACAGTTGAACTGTGAGCAGCAAGAAGAATTTGATGGTCAGACATGGACTTTTATGATTCTACAGGGTTTTATGTAGGAAATGTGACGCATTAAAAAGATCTTCACTTCCAGTTTTGAAGACAATATTTTGAACTGATGTCATCTGAATTCTATGAAAGCTTGTGTGCACTCACTGCTCTCTTGAGGGGTGAGTTGAAAGAAAGCTACTGGTCCTATAGAAAGTGAGAGATCCCGTGGGCGGAAGAAGACAAAAATCCAAACTTTTGGATGAATAATTTGTGTGGGTATCAAAACGAGTTAGAGTAAGATTTTAAAAGTTACTGTTACACCGTGAACTGTCCGCTGAACTTGTAATGGAAAAATCATAAAACTTAAAGGGGCAATATCATGTAAAATATATTTTTTTTAGCTTTATATCACGTCATAACTGTATCCCCTCATCAAAAACATGCCCAGAGTATTGCTTTGACTCATTCATGCATGTTTGAGAAACGTACTGTCCTGTACTGTCCTGAGGCAGTCATTCAGGATAGCAAAAACGGCTGGTTGGCCCTAGAACCACCTATTAGGTGCAGCTCCTCCTCTGGGCTGTGTCTCCAAGCCAAGCTTCCATATCACAGAGCACGCCTGTCGGCAGCAACAATTAGAAAACAAACACCTGGTGAAACCTCGCATCTGCTGAGCTTATACTTCTCAGTCCAGTCCTTTTCAGATTTTAAAATGCCTTTGAGGACATGTATTTTCAGATGCCAAGTAACACTCCGACGAAATTATTTATTTATTTATTTATTTATTTATTTATGTGAGCCACTTTATGGATGAACAGTGGACTAAAAACAAGATTATCACTAAAAGATGATGCAATTCCAGCATTCAGGAGTGCCCAGGTAAGCT